GACTGAGTCAGCTGTGAAAACAACAACACTTAAATAAATGTGGAAGTTGGCTGTACCTACCTGTGTGTGCGTGTGTCTGTGCCTGGTGTATTCCACACTAATCTTTCTTGATTCCTCAGAAGTTATGTCTAAAGTTCTCTGTGGTTGTGTGTTTAGACGCTGCTGGACTTTCTCTCCTTTCGTCTCTGTGCTTGTTTCCAAAACCTTCTCTTCTGCCTTTTTTCTTTCTCTCAGATCACTGATGTTCTTTATTTTCCCTCTTTCACTCTATTTCTCCATCTTTTCCTTTCTGAGAAACTCTTTCTTCAACTCAGGCTGGCTGTAAATTTTTCTCTACTTCTTTTCGATCCTCCCTGCTCCTTCTCTTTCGTTCGTCTATGACAGCTTCCCCTTTGCCATTCTAGCCTGAAATGTACCATTAAGTAATTCTTAGAATTTTTCTGAAGCATTTACGCAGATTAAGGATGGATATTCAAAACACAACTATGTATTAAGCAATAGAGATGCTATCTTTAAGTAAGATGTCATTAGCCGTTAATTTAGACAGTTACAAACTGTCTCAACTCTTATATCTTTAATAAAATGATCAGTGTGGCTCTACCAGGTGTAACATCCAGGCATCCATAAAAAAAGAACATGTGAAATTTAACAGAGTTAGAAGTTAGCTTGCTGGATTCCTCCTAAACATGATACACCAGCTCTGCTGTCACTTCCAACATAAATGAAGACAGGAAACTAAACAGCAGTGACGTTTGTAGAGTTACTGAAGTTGGGCTAGCTGGTATATAATGATGTGCTACGTGATCGCTAGCGACACAGCTATGTTAGCATAAACACAGTGAAGCTGGAGGATGAATGCTAACTCGTTTCCACTTGATAAAAGTTAACGTGAGGGTTCCTGACAGTGATCACTGGCTGTTTTTAGGGGCTTGTTCAGATGTAAAAGAACAAGATAAAAAGCACTGAAACATGTTAAAACACAACAGCCTTAATAAACGCAGGTAGTTTGGACTCCAATGCAGGCTTCATACATCATCACTTAAAAGACCAGCTCTCGGGGCAGAGATAGCTCAGTAGATAGAGTGTTTGCCCCCTGATCTCTTGGGGGTTCAAATCTACCGAACAGCGGCTTTCCTGAGGTACCCTTGAGCAAGGTACCGTCTCTACACACTGCTCCCCGGGCGATGGATTTGTAGCTGCCCACCGCTTGTGAAAGGGTTAAACGCAGAGGACTAAGCATGTTCCTACAGGATTAATAAAGTATACATTAACAATGAGATTCAAGATACGGCAAATTCGATAATATTCGACACACCTATAAAGCAGAAATATCAGTAAAATACACAGGAAGTAATATGACTGAAATATTAATAAAAAAACGTAACATAATTAGTGAATAGGACACTTTTGTGGCGTTTGTCAACACCATTACAAAAAGTGTCAACACCGTCAGACAAAAATCTGATGGTGCTGACAAAATACCGACTTTCTCTCATAACACGTGTTTTTCTGACAGAAGCTTGTTTTTCAACAGCTGCTTATGGCCTCAACAATCTACCTAAATGAAGCTTTTTACAAAATAATTAAATCTTGCATTTCATCGACTTTGGTGGCTGTGACGCAGTTTTATCACAAAGTTGTACCATAAATGAAATTAAAACAAAAAAACTCACCATGGCATGTGCATCGAACAGGAAGTGGTAAAGGGGTCCTCAGAGTGTAAGCTGCCCACAATCATTCCTGATTTTTTTGTACTTTTTAAAAAATCTGATGGTGTTGACAAAAACTCTGGACACGATTTTAATCACTTAAAATATGAAAAAATAAATTTCAGGTGTACATTTTGATATTAAATAAGGTATTGACTTAAATACTTAGTGACTTGATGTTTAATTTTTCTCTCTGTTTTAATATCATCACACCTGCTTGTGGACAGTGGATTTCTAGGGTACTGGTAATGTATTGTCCCTTATCTCAAGAATCACTGACGATGCGAGAGCCAGGAGCAATGCAGTCTTCAAAGACAGGATTTTTATTTCCACATAAATGACACAAAGGCTTCTGTGGACAACGCAGAGACACCAAAGCGAATGTTTGAAAGAGAACTCACTGCAGTGAATTGTTGGACACGGTTGTCCAGCTTACCGCAGCTCAGGTGTTGGACACTGAGGCCATTAGAGGTGACCACTCTCCCTGTGGATATGCGGGACCCTGTGGGAGGAGAGAAAGTTCAGCTCTGATAAAGCCTGTATTAAAAACTAAATGTGTAAATTGTAAATTAATGACAACTGTGTTTCTTATATAAGGTCACAGATTGCAGGCTCTTGTTTTGAAAGCTTAAAATCCACCAGTTGTGCTCCTGATAACTCTGCTTCTGAGCAGCAGTTATAGAGTCGTACATTTTGTTTCCGTGACCTGACAAGAACATGTCTGAGGTTTCTGGGCCCTCAGACAAGAGGACAATTTCTTTTTTGCCGGAGTTGGAAAAACCTGAACTGTGTGTTTCCCAGCTCTCAGAAACTGTGTTTTCTTTCCCCAACCTGATGTTTTAAAGACAATTTGTGATGTTGCACACTCTGTTTTTGTGGCTCAGGCAGCTCTCTCTGATTTGTACCTGGACTTTTTAATTCAGAGACTGTGTGTTTCAAGATGTTTGTGATGCTGCAAGACTGATTCTCCCAGAGACCGAAACTGTCCCTGGGGCCCACCCAGAGCCTGAGTTCAAGGCCTCAGCCAAGTCTGGACCCCTGGAAATGTCTCCCTGCGTCTGCTGGGAGCTCAGCTGAACCGACCCAGCAAGCAGCATATGCCACACCGCTGCCTTAACCTGGGTCACACCAACACGAACTAGACGGTTCCTGCTAAATCCATCTCCACCAGAGTTCACCACAGGTCTCCACACAGTCTCCTAAACTGATTGGTCTCTGCCACTGGCCTCATGACCAGCCTGCTGAACTGTTGCTTCTTTGTTTTGGAATATTTATCCTAATATTCCCAGCCCTTCATCCAGATTGCTCCACCCACCCTGGTCAGGTTTTCCTGTATTTGTTTAGTTTGGGACAACTGGAGGTCAACCCTTAAGGGGGCGGGGGGTTCTGTCATGGTTCTGGGTCTGTGATCCAGTCCTAATATATTTGTTTCGTTGGATTCTGGTTTAAGTAATACTCTGTTTTATGATATATTTGTAGGTTCTGGTCTTTAGGTTCGGCCTCCCCGGGGTTGCACGCTCCATGTGTGTCGGTCTCGTTGTCAACCAACTCATGTCTCTGTGTTTAGTGTTCTTGTCCTGGTCATCTTGGTCTCATCTATGTGCTCTCCTCCTCAGTCTTTGTGTCAAGCTCATGTCCCTTGAGTCTCTGTGTGTCCTGTCTTATTTTGATGGTCTCGTCCTGTTTGCATTGTGTTCAGCTTTGTTTCCCTTGTCTCAAAGCCCTTTCTCAATTCTCAAGTACGCGAGTCCGTGCTCGCGTTCTCGGCAGGTCCGAGCACGGACTCTCAATGTGTACAATTGGAACACCAGCGTACTTGATGATGTCACAGGTCCCCTCCTAATTTAACTGTGATTAATATGTTATGAAGCTGAACTTTAATCTCAGCCAAACCGATTTACTCAAGAACAAAGAAAACTCTGAAATAAACCAAATATTAACGTATCGAAGTTAACTAAGTGACTTATATATCATGTTAACCTGAATAGCGAAAGACCATGGGGGGGTTTGAAACGATGTCCCGGGAGTCCGCTGTTCTCGCCGGCTCGAATAATCCTCGACCTGTCTGCTATGGAGCTGGAGTAACAGACGTCTCTGAAAACGTCAGAGCACTTTTGGAAACGTTATATCTTGATAAATCGAGCAGATATTTGAAGCTTACACAGCCTGAAAATATCTTAAAAGTTTATTTTGTGACCCAGAAAGAGTAATATTTAAAGGTTTTTAGCCCCGCCCGCTCGTCCGCCATTGCTGCATTTGAGTTTTGGACGAAATGCATTCTGGGATATTTAGCTGTACCAAGTCCACACAAGTCACCACCGATGCATGCTCGATAAAACGGGCGGAGAACACATCCGGGACTTTTTCTCATTCTCACCTTGATGCGTACTTTGAATTGGAGCAGTACTTGGTCTCCGACTGATGACGTATCACGAGAACACAAGTACGCACAAAGACGCATTTTGAGACAGGCCCACCTGTTGCCCATCCTCTCGTTATCCTGTCTGTATGGCTGGCTGCTGCCTCTAAACAGATCCTGCATTATTAGCACTGCGTGCTGCTCAGTGATATTCAATATTTATTGTTTACTGTTACTTGTGCTTATGCTGGTTGTTGCTATGGTTTCCCTACTGTGTTGTTTTGTGTTTGCTTCTTCAGCAGGTCATCAAACACAATGATCACCTACAGCTTCCTTTCTCTCTCTTCTGTTTTCCATCTGTTAACTCCCTTCCCAACTTCTCTTTTCTTCTTCTTTGTCTTTCCCATCTCTTTCTGCTCTGATTGTAATAACTTAAAATAAAAAGAATAATAATCGAATAAACTATGACAAGGAGGAGGACCAGTATGGCAAAAGCCGTAAAAGTCAATAATTCTTATTGCTAAAGTGCTGGATGATGACGCCTGTGCTCATGCTTCTTCTTTGACTTCATGTTTTATTATATAAATTGGGATTTTATAATATTCATTCATCTGTAAACTTGGTGAACAATTTCCATGATGCTGCTTTACATGAAAGTTAAAAACAAAAGACCTGCTGCCATTCCATGTAAAATGCAAATGCTCTGCAGATGCAAATCAGCTAATGCAGAAAAACTGAGTGAATTAATTCTATGAAATGTTTGCATGGAACAGGAGAAAAGGAAGTACTTTAAATCATTGTAGTCTAGGAAATATACTGAATGTTTTTTAATTTTCCACATTTTTAGGGGGCTTTTAGAATTTATGTCTGAAACAAATCAGACCTATACACTCTGAGATCAGTCTAAACATACATACCCAGACCTTTCCCTCCCCAGTAACAACAGCTCTGGGGGGACACATCCCAGGTCAGACAGACACACTGTCTGAGGCGTGTCCTGGGATTGGCCCGGGGGTCTTCTCACATTGCACTGCCTGAAATGTTTCTTTTGAATGGGGATAAAATAGCCTGTGACTCTAGAAAACCCACACTCCCAAAGCTCCTGTACAGGATCCCCTGGTTAATGCTGAAACACATGTTAACTGGCAGGAAATTTCCAGTAACCCTTGCGGATAAAGAGCTGGTCCAGAGTCAGCTGGTTGAAACTCATTTACCTGAAGTGATGAGTGAACAGGTTGCTGCCAGCACTGAAAGAGACAGAAAGAAAGCTCAGTGTCAGACTGTGTGTTTGATATCAAGTTGAATTCACCTCAAAACATGAAACAGAAATGAAAAGCAAACAGGAGAAAGCTGCTGCTTTCATTCACACCTGGATTCTTGGAAAACTCTTTCTAAACAGCAGATTTCAATGACACATTTATTCTCTTCATCTTTCCAACTTTTGTCAATAAACTTATTTGTGTTGACAGTTTGACTTCAACTCTTCAAAGTAAATGATCAGCCATGAATTGCTCTCAGGACTCTGTGAAGCCTAACTGTCCTGCTGAGGTGATGCAAACATGTATTTAGGATGTTAGATGAACTGATCCAATAAAGCAGAAAGAAAAGCATGTCACAGTACAGCACAGTGGAAAGCTAGAAAAGGATTAGACTGAACATGTGCAGCTGATTTCATGTCTAAATAAAGGATTATCAGTGTGTTGTACTCACACAGTGTGCTGCTGAGTCCGGAGCAGAGCATCATGTTAGGAGATCTGGATTACAGTGAAGAGCTGATGGAGGATCAAACACAGAGCTGCTGGATTCACTCTGTTTCAGTAACACCTGTGATGTACATGCAAAGCACAGCCAATGGAAAAGCAGGATCTGTTCCTTCTCAGCTGCAGCAGGAAATAAAACTACTTTACATTAAAAGTTATATAAGCCTGGATCAGCTGACCCAGTGACAGCTGGGAGGGGCTCGGATCATCATTTTAAACATGATTAATGGTAGATTACATTTATTTTAACATTTAATACAAATGATTGTGTTAACATGATGTAAATGATTGCAAACATGTTGTTCCAAAGTTTAGGAGCTACAGTTTGAAAATGTGATCACGTCTGGATTTAAATGAAGAGCACAGAAGAGTTCAAAGAGCCTGATCAGCTCAGAGAGAAAGTGACAGTCCCCTGTTCATTAACAGCGTCCTAACAAATGTGATGTGCAAATCAGATCTGCTTGGAGTTTGGAATGATGACTGTAAGAAAACAAAAACAGGTTGTGCCAGGAACACATTTGAATGGAAAACATCCTGATTTGCATGGATTATCTCCACACGTCTCTCTGGTCAGACAAACTTTTGAGACGGTGGGTCAAAGGGTTTACCGAAGCCAGTTCACGAGGAGAACATCAGTACCCAAAGCTGAGCTTCAAAAACACTCACAGTATTTAGAAAGACGTTTCTGACTGTGAAGAGCTGGTGAACTAGTTCCTGAAAAACATAACATGCCACTGAACAGCAGCTACACCTTCATGCAAAAGGTTTCTGGAGTTTCCACTTTCACTGATTTACCTTTATTAGTCCCACAAGGGGAAATTTCATAAGGCTGCTGACCTATTGCACGCAATGGCGGCGCCATCTTACCCTCCGACCACACATACATTACACAAACATCACATGGGGAAGACAGGTCAGAGAGGTCTAACAATGGAAAATGCACCACATGAGGAAAGATAAGGAGAAAAAATAACTCCCCCCAGACTGAGCTCCAACAGGGAGATCAGTCTGAGAACAGAAAAAACACCTCTGCACATGAAAAACTCTTAATACACCAAAGAAACACATGACAAGCAACAGGGGGGGTAAAGGGTGAGAGAC